TATTAATCCAGTACTTTGTAATCACACTTGATGAATACACAGTGGGAATATTGTCCTGGTGTAAATGTGGCAGGTTGTCTAATCAGGAGATGATCAGAATCAGTTTTATTGCCAGGTATCTGTACACATATGAGGAATTTGACTCAGGATTGTACATTGCTCACGATGTGGTTACTTATACAATAATAAAATAAAATCGGACACAAACTACAGTATAGACAACACTAATATAAACACTATGAACAAAACAATATAGACATATTGACAAATAGTGCAGTGATCAGAGTGCAAAGGATGCAAGAGTAAACTATTATTCTCATTGTGTACATGTTGATGGTGGATATGATATACAGGTGCACATACACATACATGTACACATGTACACAGTGTGATGGAGCATAGTGCATGATGACTTGTCGTTTCATCACAAATAAATAAAGGGTGTGTTCACTTTTTTCACTTAATGAATTATGACCGATGATTTCTACGATGCAGTAAACGTGGGCAACATCACGGACTTTGACAATAAAAATGGAATCAACTGCTAATCACGGAAAGCAGCCAAAATGTGACTGCAATTTATAAACAGCAATGTTTCCACAGTAGGCTGTTATAAGTGTCTTTATTTTACAGCACTTAAGCCAAACGAGCAGACAAACTATAGGACTGCTGCTATGTTTTGTTTTATTCTGCTTGTCATTTATGAGGACTGTTTTAAAAAGTTACAACAAACTTAATGTATTCCAGTGTTTCAGTGTTTTTCTTCAAATGTAAAACTGCAGGGTTTTAGGCCTGACAATTGCATTAGAATGTTGATTAAACCATTGTTTGCAACCTCTTTGTAATGTGAAGCCATCTAGTCCTTCAGCAACCCCCACCCTTGTTCTTCCCGCCCCACATGTCGTCAGTCTCACGATCACCAGCAATTCACCTTAACTGCGCCGTTCCCCCCGTCCACACACTTCAGCCTTGCAGCCTTGCAGCTCAGCTAAGTATCACAACCTCGCGCTTCTCTTTTGCCATCTATTAACACCACACAACAGTCCTGGGGAGCTCCTTACACCCCACGGTATAATCCAGTTAGGAATCCCTCCCCTCCAAGTTATAGGGAGCTTACAGTCGCAGCATTTACCTTCGTTGTTCACATGATACAACACGCTCAGTCTTTCCAAACTGCAGGGACGAGTACGACGACCACCATTGGATTTGGCTCTGCGGTTCAGTGGCATCAGGTTCACATATCACGTCCTCTTGCTTTCCAGGCCACATGCCGTAGTGCAAAACTCCGAACCCCGCATATAGGTATTCTCATCCTCACCCACACAACCTGCCCATCTTTCCAAGGCTACGCCCTGCCGTGGCTCCACCTCCCATCATCCCCAAACCACCAACCCTTCTATCAGAAAACATTGCACAATCAGCCCACGGGCCGATTGCTCAGGAAGTCAACCAAGGGAAGGCCCATACCATACCAAGGCGGAGGGGTGGTTGCACATAACTTCATGAATTACGCCGCAAGGTTCACGTCGCCATTTCCTCACATTTCTTTCGTGGGGGTGCCGCCCCCAGGACCTGCCGCCCCCAAGACCCTACCCAGCAGGGTTTCTGGCCGCACAGATACCTCAGACTATGATTTTATCCACGACTTAAATACACTGCGAAGACATTTAAACCACCAGTACGTTCATCTCCACTTCTGGTCCAGCTAGACATCGAGGTTTTCCCAGAAAGAGCTTATTGTAGTAGTGTCTTACACACACGAGGAATTTGCTTGGTGCCACATGTAGACAACCATACAGTTGACATAAATAAATGTACAGGTAGGTATGGAGTGGACAATGCAAGTTATGCGGGAAAATAAGAACAGAGAAAAGTTATACAACTATTTGTAGAGAAACGACAGAGATCTAACAGATATCTACATGTGCATTACTCTGGGTTGTGTCATCCAGATGTATCGCAACGGAAGAAAATATTGTGTAAATAAATACATAAGTTGACACAAAAAATAGAATGATTGACAATTGACAACAATATGCGCAATCCATCATAACCTCCAGTCCATCCAGGCCAAGCCCATACAGCAGCTAAGATCCTAGCTAAGAAGTCGATAACTGCTCATTAACATCCACCAGCCTTCCTCCCCTTTCCCAATCCACCGCACCAGCCATATCACCACCAAGACTTACAACGGCAAGACTCATCTCTCTTTCCACCACGCCAAGCACCAAAAGCCTCATCCTCAGTCCCGAATTCCAAGCTCCATGTAACCCACCCGCGTGACACCAACCTCAACCATTTCGCTGGCGAACGCGACGTTGGTCCAGTCTGCCATTACCAGCACTTCCCAGCACTTCCCAGGTGTTGTCCATACACCTGGATTTCTTTCATTGAGCACTTTTCGGAACAGTCTGTTTTCACACAGTCTGCCCAACGTTCAGGTTGCAGAGCAGCCGCAAGGTATTTTATCCACTTCCCTCCCAAGCTCACATTCCAAACTATCCCCCCTTTGTCATACCAAGCACCTATCTCTCTCTCTTCATTGGACACCCAAACTCCCCCATCCACATCAGCCCACAAGGCCGATCCTTTCTTCCCCACTTACTGCAAATATCCACCGCATCGCAGTCTCTCCACGATCACACGGTACCCAACAACACTGGTAAAATGAGCAAGATTGTGACGCAACTTCCTTTCTTCTTGGAAAGTCATCTGACAACCACATAGCCCAAACCAAAGACACCACCTTACACAAATGCAGAACTCTCACAGGTTTTGTCGGCCACAGAGGCAGATGGTTGTCATCCGAGCAACCGCCAGACCCGTCCTCAACACCCCCACCCCCGCCTCCTTCGCCCTTACGAACCGTACCCGATTATCACCGCTGCCATTCTTTCGGGGCACGAGGTCCAAGTCATTCTGGTACACACAGACAACCACACTGCTATTGACATCATAAAACAGGCTCGCTCCTAATCACTCAACACCACCAAACCCTTAACAAAACCCCCTTCATCATAAATACTTCTCATTATCCAAATAAACTATCTTGTTCTACCTCAAATTGGCATGGACCTTGTTAGTGGACCACCAAGTAGAGCATGTTTTGTGCACAATAATAACTGAAGAAACCCACAAAAATTAAACTGCAGTTTTTTCCAACTGGAATTAATATTATAGGCTACTAATGGTAAGCTATAGTAGCCTTTACTATTATCTGAAATTATAATACATTTAAAAACATTCGCACTAATCAAACCTTAACCCAAGTGGTGCAGGCTAATATCAGAAAATGTTTTATTAGTGAAACAGCTGAATCTCTCTCTCTCTGAATAAACTAGCTGTCAGCAAATTATCCAAATAAAGTGTGCCCTGCAAATATAGTATCATACTAGCAATATTTTTATCAAATGTTATAATATTTATTAATACACTCAAAATACCAGGATGTGGATATATTTTGTTTATGAAATGGTCAGAAATACTAAGAAAATGCATATTTTTATTAAAATATTCCGTTCCTGCTGGAGGCTGAGAGCTGCTTCCTCTTTCTGCATTCTGTTTTCACAGGATCTCGTTAACTTCCTCTGGTCTTGTTCTGTGGCGTCTCTGTGACAACCAGCAAACATGACAGAAGAAGAAGTACATGCAACTCTTTTCTCCACCAAACCACACTGACCCTGTTCACACAAACTGCACTGCAAGATATAAACACGACTCTGAGAGAAAACCAGTCAGCAGGCAGAAGTGACATTTCAGACAAGGTGTTTAAATAATAAATAAATGATGAGATGAAGTTTCTACACTTCGATCAGAGAAACAAAGAAAAATAAGTTTTCCTGAAACAGTTTGATCAGAATATCCTGATCCAGCAGTTATTGATCAGGAGGAGGAAAAATAATCAAAGATGGCTCCTCTGAGACACGAGACCCTAAATGACAGTCGAGTGGAGACTCTGCTCAGGAGACAATCGCTGACTGAAGGAACAGGAAGGTTTTTATCTGGGATTGATGATATAAAAGGAGTTCACATGCAGCTGCTTTGTAGAGACAGAGAACTGTGATCATCAGAATGACCATTAATTCAGTGAAACTTTATTGCTCACAGAATTTGGTATAAAAAATGACATTTACATTGTTAATTAAAAAATACATTGAAATAAAAACATGTACAGAGTATTAACAGGCTACTCTGCAGATTAATATTTTACAGCTACAACATGAAGCATTGATATAAAATAAACTGTCAACATTATGTAAATAAGATACACTTACCTAAGACTTGTGTACTTTGACTTTAGTAACATTTTGAAAGCAGTTTTAATTTGCTTATATTGTGTTTTAAAGGCCAGATTAAATTTTAAGACTCCATGGTCCATGCACAAAGTATAATTATTCTGCAGTTGTTCACATTGTTTGATGAAAAATTTTAGTTTAGGGGGTATTTCAGCTGTTTTCATCAAACAATGTGAACAACTGCAGATGAATTATACTTCGTGTACGGACCCTCCGTCTTACCTTCTTTTCTTTTGAGACAAAGTCAACAAACTTAAACACAAACACAATAAAGAACTATTCACATTTCTGATCAATTCATAAGTGCTTCATATACAAACAGTAAGTACAGGGATGGGCAAAGATACATCAAACTGTATTTAAAAATAAAATAACAAATACCCTCATTTTAAGTGAGAGAGCTGCACTGCAAGCTAAAAACAGATGGGGCTTGTTAAAAGTGCAAGACAAATCACGATACGCCAAAGAGTGAAAGTAGAAGTACAGGTGAGAACCGGCCCACTTCAAGCTCTGTTTGAGTTTAAAGTCACTTTCACCAATTACATGACCATGACTATTGAGTAGAGGTACTATATCAGCTTAATGAACAGGTCAGAGTAAAATTAAATGAGCTGACCCACACTGGGACGTTGCACTGAGAGCAGCTGAGCAGAAATAGAGGATGAAGAAAAGTATTCTGAGGGAACACAAATGTAGTCCTCAAAAATATTCTCGTTGACCATATAAATAAAAATGTGCAATATCCTATTTTGAATTTCAAATAAGTTTAAAGTTTAATACTACTCATCCCTGAGTACATATATACATAGTTATGTTATTTAAGCTCCATCCAGGAAAGCTGAGCAGGCACACGTGCATACGGCTGGTTATTTGAGGCATAAACATTATTACAGAATTTTCTCTTGAATTATGCTCTGTGCATCCTTTATGTTTTCTAAAGATCATAAAACAAACATCAACAACAGCGAGCACACCACCTGTCTGTGAAACATCTTCCTCCTTGCTTCCTCCCTCCTTGTCTCCAGCTGTGTGACCTGCAGAGCAGAAACAGGCTAAACGGTTAAATCAGCAAGTCAACCCAGGGTTTCCCAATCCAGTCCAGAGCACGTTCACAAAAAAAGAGGCGATTTTAGCAGCAGCTGACCAATCACAGACATGAACAAGTTCACTGGCAGCGGAGCGTCAAATTTTACATTTATTCATTTAGCTGACGCTTTTATCCAAAAAGACTTACAATTGCTATACATGTCAGAGGTCGCACGCCTCTGGAGCAACTAGGGGTGAAGTGTCTTGGTGGATGGATCACAGTGGGAATCGAACCCAAGTCTCCCACACCAAAGGCAAGCATCTTATCTATGCGCCATCACCACCCCCTTTTGCAAACCAAGAGCACTGGAAAAAACTGTGATATCATAGAAATACGTAGGCCTGATATAATTCAGGCTTAAAGCAGCACAGCTGCAGCTGCCACGTGCAGGAAGACGGAGTGAATGCCGAAGTTAACGTGTGTAAAATGTGAATGAGTTGATTTGTCATTTTATTCTTTCAGCTCTGTGTCAGTGTTTCTGCATTAGAAGCCGCGGGCACTGAATAAGTGGTATTTCAATTCACTTTCAAGAACTTCTAGTCACTATGAAAACATATTTCCATCAGTGGCTGTAGCGTCTTTTTTCAGTTCATTGCAAGGGGAGCGCCGCATTTTTACAACATGGTAAAAACGCCAGCAAGGTGACGAGGCGTTGAGCATCTTTTCCGACTTTGTGGTGACATTTTTACATTCAGTGAAATTAGGTAGCCTACTTGCAGCGCATCACCTCCATGGATATTATGTATCCTAGCAACCTAAGGCCCTGTGTCCACCAAAGCGTCTTTTATCAGTTCATAGCAATGAGAGCGCTGCGTTTTTACGAGCTGGTAAAAAAAGCCAACAGCATGACGAGGCGCCGATCGTCTTTTCCACGCTGGGCGCTGAGCGTTTTTTTTCTGGTCGTCGAGAGCTGAAAAATGTTAAATTTTGGGAATAAACGCTGCACTCGTCACTGTCACTTTTTACCCAGCTGTCCAATCACAGTAGAGGAGGCAAATAACACACCGCAGCAACGGTTACTATCCTGGAACGGGACTTCATCGAGCCTCAGCTATTGGTTTAAACAGTGGCCGTTCAGCGTAAGTTACCGTGACGATCTACCCCGGTAAGTGAACCACCATCGTGGTACTGAAAACCCAGGTTTAACCCTGAAGTTACCTGGATAAGCTCAAATCCTGCTTCATGGTACAGGCCTGAGAGACAAAGAGACACTCTGAGCTCTACACACTCACCTGGATCTGTCAGACTGATGATGATGATGATGGGTTTAGGGCGTCTTCTGCACTCTCTGAGTCAGGAGTTGTTTCTGGTCTGTGTCTCCTTTGAATCATTTGATTGACCATAAAACCACCAACAGCAACAAGAAGAAGAGAAAGAAAACAAACAACTCCAACGTATCCCTCCCAGATGTGTCCAGCTGTGTGACCTGCAGAGCAGAAACAGGTGTGAGGTATCAGCTGTCAGCAGGTGGACAGAATGTCAGACATTATCTACTGCACTTTGATCACATGACTCGTAGCAGCTGTTTCCTCTAAAGTCTCATCAGCAACATCTTTCTAAAACACAAACATCTGATCTGTGATGTTTCTCAGCTCAACTACCAGGAAGCAGCTTCACCTGAGAGACAAAGAGACACTCTGAGCTCTACACACTCACCTGAGAGACAAAGAGACACTCTGAGCTCTACACACTCACCTGAGAGACAAAGAGACACTCTGAGCTCTACACGCTCACCTGAGAGACAAAGAGACACTCTGAGCTCTACACGCTCACCTGAGAGACAAAGAGACACTCTGAGCTCTACACGCTCACCTGTCACTGTCAGCTCGATGATGCTGATGTACTCAAATACGTCTCTCTTTCTGTCTCTTGAGTTTTTCCCTACAATCAAACACTCATATGTTCCAGTGTCCTTGATGTTGACGTTCTTCAGAATCACAGAAGCGTCTCCGTTCTTCATCTCTGGATCTTGAAGCTCCACTCGACCATAAAAATATGGGTGCTGGATTTCTTCATATGAGCGGTCGTTACTGAATAAGAAGACAAAACCATCATCTGGCTTCAGGTCAGTTCTGCTCCACTCTATCAGTGAGATGTCAGCACCTCCGTGACTCTGACACTGAAGAGTGGCGTCCTCTCCAACCTTCACTGTCACCTCCTGTGTCTCTGAACAGAAAGAGAAAAGCCTCCAGTCAGGACTTGTAATGTTTCCTGTTGTTCAAACATCTTTTGATGGAAGCAGCAGAGATCAGGTCTCTATAAAACAGCACATGTGAACTCAGCAGCATTTCAAACCCTGTTCTCAGACAACTTGAGTCCCAGCTGCAGAAAGGAGAGACTAACTCCTCTGCTGCAGCTGCACGCTGACTTCATGTTGCTCATTTCTACAGCTGTCAGTCAAGTCGTCCTCCGCACCATCAGACAGGAGACATTTTACTCTCATCTGCTTTCTGCTTGGGACTGTTGAGGAAATTTGTATATTGCTGGAGAGAGATGAAGCAAAAAACTGAGTAACAACAAATCGAGAAGATATTAATAAAAAGAGAATAAACAGAGCAGTACTTTACCACAGAGTCAGCTGGTCTAGAGACCTGCCTATTGGGCAGCTTCATTAAGTATAGAAAACTGACTGAGCTTTAGCTGTTTTTGCAGAACATTGACATTGTTGAGTTATGAACAAGCAGGAGATCAAACATATCCAGCAGCCTACAGAGTCAAATTCTAAAGTGGTAAACGTATATTTGAATCAATAATATGAATATATTGTGAATAGAATTTAAAATATGAGTTACAACAACTATATAATTATAATAATAAGTTATCCCAAGTAGTTGCTGTGTAAACTGTACGAACTACAATCCCCTGAAGTTGTGGAACACGCAGCCACGTCAACTCGATGTTTATATTAATATCTCTGCGATTACGCAGCACATAAATATGGTTCAGATATTTCTTTAACCGATAGATTCTTTGTCTGTGACTCACACAGTGAGCTAAGAGGAAGAAAATATGGCCTTTCATCTTTCGTAATTGGTGGGTTGTCCTGTCCGTCTGTCTATTTTGTGTGAAACTAACCAATGGAGACTCTAAAAATCTCTAAGGACCCCCCCATCACCTCACGGAAGGAAAATACTGAGTTCACAGAGAGAGAGAGAGAGTCTGCTAAGGAAAACGTCCACAATAAAAATATATACAGGAGAGGAAAAAGAATAAGAGACAAGCAGAGAAAATGGTGAAGAAGTACACATTTAGGGAAAACTGTTTTTAACTAAGTGCTAAGCTAAATGTGACCATCTTGGCTAAAATATGCTGCATCTGTTCTGATTTGTGTTTCAGTAAGTTAATCATGAACTTTGACAAACTGGCTGTCCCTTTAGTAAAGGTTTATTCTGCGTAAAAGTTATGTTCTTGTTTAAAATTGAGATTCACTTATAAATAATAAAGGCATTTAGGCTGTTCTATGTGATCTCCTTTTGATAACTTAAACTATTCTCACAATTTGTTGGTTGTTGATGAATCAATGTGTTTTGACTTTTGGCTATTTTATCATAATGTTCTGCACAGAGGACACTTTGTCTTTCATGTCATTTTATTTATTTATATTTGTTAATGTAAAGTTGCTGGAGTTTTTGAAATGGAAGAGAGAGTTTCCCCACAGCTCAGGTGTGATTCGCTGCTGTTTGGGATGGACAGGTAGCACACATGAAAAACTGTAGATACAGAGATCTTCTCTGGACAGAAACTGTTTTGCAGCATGGCACGATAGTTCAGAAACTGAAACATGAAAATACACATTCTGTAAATATGGTGAATAAAAAGAGTTTTTCTGTGTCTTTAAATACATATAAAATATTTGGTTTGCAAAAAAAAAACATTAATATTGTTATAAGTTTGGTTTGGAAGAAAAACCTGCTACTTTTTCATTTGCACACATCCCCTAAAGCTTGGTATGTAGTTTAAAGGTATTATTCAGACCTATTTTATTTCAGCTCAGTCTCAACACTTCATACATGTATTATGAATTCTCTACTGACCCTAAGACTTTGGTAAACCCATTTCAAGGACCAAAAGAATTTGTCCTCATGAGTAATGTTTTCACAAGAGATTTGAAGGATTTCAAAAATCGGACTTACATTTTTCACCTTTAGAGAAAATGTTCTCTCTCTTTAAAACAAAGCTCTGGGTCAAGTGTTGAGCTCATTATACAGACAGCACACTTTGATATAAAACACATTGTATGAATAATGAAAATGCACTTAAACCTCAAACAGGAGGTTTTACACATTTCTCAAAGATCATTGAACAGAAGATAATTGCATAATAACCCATAATTAATCAATCATCTACCTGCTCATCACTTTTCCTTTAAAACCATTATTTTCTGATACCTGTCAATTTCTAGATTTTGTTTAAAATAATAAAATAATGGGAAATATCTTTATCTTGTTAAATACATCTTTATGTGAAGAAATGAAGTGTGTGTTGTATTTTAAAGAAGGATGGTTCACCATTTTGTTGTAGTTTACACAAAATATGTGTTTTTGGTCATTTAGGTAATTAGATATTTGTTTAAAGTTACTTGATATTATTTATTAGCCGTTGTTATGAGAGCTTAGTTTATTATCAGATCAACAAATGTCAACGGGCTAGACTTTTAATGAAGATGTTAAAATGATTAAAGAGTCCCGGCCTACAAATTTCACGTAGAGAATCTCATTAACTCATTAGATCTCATTAGAAGGCACAGATCAAAATATCTCTAGACTGTAAATGTTGAAGGACTAATGAGTAGTGTTGTAGTCAAGAGCGCCCAAACCGAGACCAAGTCAAGACCAAGACCAGTTCCCCACATTACATGACGAGATCTCAAACTGATCTGAAAGATTCACATTCCCATAAAAACACCCACATTCAAACACTAAGAGCTGAAATCATTAACTTCTTTATTCAACACTCCTTTTCCATCTTTCCCATCGTGGGGAGGGGGGACAGTCGTTAACGGGAACAACACATTTTTAATTATTGGTTGCATTCGAAGCAAAATGTTTTACATCCAATCAAAGTTAGGATGTTAACAAATAAATAAACAAGCAATTTATTGATATTCCTAAAGTTATAGTCTTCACTTGTCTTCAAATAAAATCCCGAGTCCTCAATGTCTCGAGGCTGAGACAAGACCGTGTGGAAGTGCGGTCGAGTCCGAGACCAAGAACATCAAAAAGTGGTCTTAAGACCGGTCTCGAGTACTACAACACTACTAATAAGATTGTACATATTTTAATGTGAATATATATATTATTTTCGCTCGCATAAAGTCATAAAGTCAGAGTTAAAAGTTAAAACTCAGCCTAGGCGGTCAGCAGGTTCCAGTCTAATTCCAGCGTGTGACCGGCTGCTCTTGAAGTCAGGACTGCTGTCTGTCTGTGCTGCCTTCACTGTAACTCTGTCCTGTCTATGTTTGTCTTCTGATGTCTGAGTTTCTGCTGTTCTACATATCAGTGAACAACAAAACTTTCTTCTTGTTCTTTAAAGGCTGCTAAAGCACATGGCACACACACTCCTCTTACCTTGACACAGAACAAAGATCCATGAACAGGAGAACAAAGCCACGAATGATGTTAATGATACAGCCATGACCGCAGAGCTGCTGCAGCTGAGAAACCTGAAGCCAGACTGAGTTCTTCTTCCTGGTGTGTAGGTTTTGTTCTCAATGGACCCGCCCATATGTTATCAGAAGTGTAGTCCAGAAAGCAGGTTTACAGACAGCTCTGAGTTTGTTACTCCTGAGAAGAGGGAAATTCTGCATTTCCAGTTCCAGAAAGAGCAACTTTAACTCCTGTGACAGCCCGCTGTAGTGAGGGAGGAGACACTCACACACTGGGAGCTGATCAAATCAATGAAATGTGTTAGCATAAAAACAAGTGAAGGTTTATTACTGGTGGATCAACTCTGTTCACTTGTGTGGCTCTGGGTTCAAATCCCAGTCATGACAAGTGATTTCACATTTTTGGCGGGGACTAAAAGTGTCTGCTACATGAGTAAATGTACTCTGTGTGCTACATTAAATTCTCCATCTCCAGTCTTTTCTTGAACTCTTTTGAAACATATTTTATTCAACAACGAAAACCTGTCCAAGGAAATATCTCAGATGGTCAGCATTACCACAACTACAGGAACATATCATATTAATTCATTTGAACGAGGACACATGAAGTATAAATGGTCAGATTTACATCTCTGTACATTCTGCTCACATACAATACAAAAAACTGTTTTACTGTTGGGTCTTAAACATTATTGATTGTTTTAATGTAAATAATGTGTTTATTAAGTGCTTAAATTTTTAAATAGAAGAGAAGATGGACTCAGCAGACCAAAGACACTTGGTTGCACACTCACAGCCCTAACGTTCCTCTGCTGCAAACAGCCTGCTTCTTTCCGTCTCTCTCTCTCTGTTTGTCTGCTCCGGTGAATTTCTCCTTCACTAGTAGGATATATTATACAAAGTTGTCGGAAAAAGTCCAGAACTTGTCTTCTGGACTTTTCCTCCCGTGACTCCGTTCACAGCAGCAGCTGCGCCGCATGTCGAGGAGACGTGTTGATGACGTAGCCTTTCAAAACAAAACCTACTTGGTAAAAAACAAATGACCTCTGATGTGTTTACTGTCACATTACCTGGTACATGCTTGTCAAATATCCACCGAGTTAAGACTTGATAACTTGATAACGTGATAACTAAATGTTTCTCTAAAAATTGGTACATTATGTCGCCTAACATACCTGGGCGGCCCCTAATATAGCTGGGCGGCCCCTAATATAGCTGGGCGGCCCCTAATATACCTGGGCGGCCCCTAATATACCTGGGCGGCCCTTAATATACCTGGGCGGCCCTTAATATAGCTGGGCGGCCCCTAATATAGCTGGGCGGCCCCTAATATAGCTGGGCGGCCCCTAATATACCTGGGCGGCCCCTAATATACCTGGGCGGCCCCTAATATACCTGGGCGGCCCCTAATATACCTGGGCGGCACGCTAAAGTAAAGTGTATGTGGGGGAAACACTGACTGAACCGTCGTTTTTCTTTTCGCAAGCCAGGATTATCTGGGCAAAGGAGAAGTGCTCACTAACACAGATTTTGACAGATTTGTGAACAATATTTGAGAGAAATTGCCCTTCTGTAGAGAGAAAGTCTTAGATCTTTGAGTTCAGCTCATGATGAATGGGGGCAAAAACAAAAGTGTTGTGTTTATTTGTTTATTTATTTCCAACAAAAGCAGATGCAGCTAAAGGCATTTATTTCTTCCTAGCTTTGTCACTCTCCACACGTCACACTGAGGTTTGTTTGTTTTTTGTCCACTTGGGGGCAGCGTTGGTTTGTACTTCTTCCCTGTTTTGTTGTGTTTTTTGCTGCTTGTTTGTTGGTGTTTCTGCAGAGTGTCCTCTTTGTATCCTTGGAGAAATGGAGCTGGAAAAAGTCCACTGGTGAGCGTGTTGAATGTGTGTTCACCTGGGCTGAACCTACTGGCTTGTGGGACAGCATCAAGATCACTTTCAGTTTTCCAGGGTTCAGAGCTGTGGTGTGGCTGTCCTGACGGGGCTCGTGGAGATCTTGACCTGGTTTGATTCCCCCTCCCACGCCTCCTCCGTGCAGGCCTGCGTGTCGTTGTTACTGCGGTTGTAGATGATCCAGGCTGGTCATCGTCTCTGTACATGACAACAACACATGTAACAAGATTATTAAAAAGTCATTGTCATATGTAACACAAGTAAATAAGTAAAAATGTCTTGTAATGATTAAAATAATTAATTCAGTATTCCTCAAGTTAAAACCATTATTAATTAATAATACTAAAAAAAGTTAGTGTCATGATTTCACACTTACCTCCGACCCGACGGTAGAAGTGTGAACAGTTCGTGTTGGGGGTGGGTGGGATCCTTGATAGGAGGCAGCTCTCCTGTGGACTGTGATGGGAGATGCTCTGCAGGGAGGGTAGTGGAGTCACCACTTTCTGCAGGTGATGCAGCTGGTCAGGATCCTCTCAACAGCGCGCCTGTAGAAGCTGCTGAGGATCTTAGGTGACATACCAAACTTCCTCAGTCTCCTCAGGAAGTGCAGCCGCTGTTGAGCCTTCTTAACCAGCTGTGTGGCGTTCAGTGTCCAAGTGAGGTTCTCGCTGATGTGAAAGCCCAGATATTTAAAACTCGCTCTACCTCAAGTGAACAGTAGCTGACAAGGTCTCCTCTCCTTCCTCATGTCCACTGTTGCCTCCTTCGTCTTGTCAGTATTAAAGGTGAGGTTGTTGTCCTCGCACCACGCCACCAGGCTGGCCACCTCCCTCCTGTAGGCCGCTTCGTCCTTGCCAGTGATGCGTCCTATCACTGCCGTGTCGTCCGAACTTCAGTATGATGTTGTCCTTGTGGGAGGCAACACAGTCATGAGTGAACAGGGTGTAGAGGATGGGGCTGAGGACGCATCAAGGTGGAGCGTCAGTGTTTGTTATAAGTTTCCCCACATTCTTATAATTTAAACATATTACAACAGTTATTACACACATATAAGCTTTACTTTAACGTAGTAGAAGTGGGCAATATGGAATTTGTTTGGCAATATTGGTACCAGCAGGCCCTTTGGTGATCATGTTTTAATGATATTTTATTGTTATTTATATAACAGATTTCATTACCTATTTGAAAAAACACAGTTTGGAAGAGCAATGAGAATTGATTGTATCCCCAAAATGAAATTAAACCAATAACTTAAATATATATATATATATAT